AAAAAACCAAAGTTTTTTCGTTAAAATATGTTAATACGCTTTGCATGACAGTCGATTTAAAAAAAAAATCAAAAATTAAAAATTCAGGACAATTTTGAAAAAAAATCACTTTTTTGTTACAAACAAATGGTAAAAAACAATATTTATTATTGAATTTTTAGTAAAATTTTAGTGTCATGCAAAGGCCAATAAGTCAAAGAATATGTGTGCAAAATTTCATTAAAATCGGTTGAGAATTCTTTGAGCTACATTACACGGCACGCGAAATTTTGTTTTGAGAAAAACGCGTTTAAAGTTTTCGATAGAGAAAAGTAGGGTTTAAGGGGACTTACGACTATATAAGCTTAGTCTGCGATGTCAGGGCAGTAAAGTATGTCTTCCTCTTCTGCAAATGCATCCATTTAAGCCGCTGCTTCCTGTTTTTTAGCTGTCCTGGACTCTTTTGACCTGCTTTGGCTACGATGCTCCTGTCTTTCCACTCGGTTTTTGTCGTACACGTCAGCGAATGTTTTACACTGAAAACCGATTTGCAGTTCCAAATCTGTCATTACTTGTAGAATGAATGTGTAGCCATCGTTAAACATGCCTCCGGCTAAACAAGCAGCAATCTCAACGATTTTCCAGCCGCTGAATTTAGATGCTTGGGAGCCAAGCGCCATACGGTCGCATTAAAATATTCATTTGCGTTTTGTGTATAGCCACCCAAGCATCTCTTAAGCAAGTCATCACGGGATAAATCCTCGTAAATTGGCAGTATCTGCTTTTTCACATCAGAATATAATGGAGGAGGATGAGTATAAGCTTGTGCTGCATTTTCAGCTTCGGCGACGCGATACGCACACCACGAGTCGGTGCCCGGGGGACAGTACTGGTGCTGCGGCTCTTGATCGGTTGATATCAAATGGAAATAAATGACCATGATTGCTTTTTTCATGTCATTCTGTGAATGCGCATTCCTTCGAATGGCTAGGTCATAGTATTTTGTTAATTTTTTTTATAAGAATATCAGTAAGTTTCCCCTTGCCTCCGAGTTTAGCAGTTTTTTTTTTAATTTAGTTGTCGACTGCCTATGCGTTTCTCGACATGGCCCACGCATTCGCTCTTCGTTACTTTCAAATTATCACCGTAAAGTTCTGTATCTACAATGGCTTTAAAAATCTTAGCGTCTCCATCTCCAATATAACTACTGTATCTCACTCCATAACGTTCTTGGAATCTTTGAAATATTTCGAGCATAGAATCGACTTCCATTTTTCCCGAAGAGCCTCGATGATTTGTTCAGCAATTCTTTTTGTGCTCTGCATATTCCGGACCGTTTGAATCTCTGTTTAAAGTAGATGCATGCTTGACAATAACTATTTTTAACGATTAGATCTATTACTTTTCCTGAGTGATAAGCTATTAGCGTAGTAACACCAAAGAGAGACGAGAACCCGCGCTTTTTCCAAGAACCGTCACCGCTAACAGTCAAATTCTGAATAGGTCTCTCGTTCTCTTCATTTATTTTTATTTCATCTTGCACAGCGTTTTTGCAGCAAACATCAAAAACTTTCTTAGCAGACGAGTATAAGTGTTGCATTATTCTCTTGTAACCTTTTTTGCTCAATCCTTGTCCCAAGTCCATTATACCGCAAAAAATGTTTATGCCTTCTCGAGCTACTCCCAGTAATCTTATAGCAAAAACTATTTTTCGATTAATTTCAAAACTATTATGAATAAATAGTCCTGAATCAATGAATATAGTGCCACACTTACACTTCACGGATATTTTAAAACCAAGTCCTCTGTCACCTGAATTCCCGAATGATAAATTACCTTTACACTTTCTGCAAATAGTTATGTCAGAAATAGCAGAAAATACAGAAATAAATTCTATGATTCGGTAACAGAAATTCAAATTTACAACAACGTCAGACACCGACGCTTTCATTTTCTTAGCCGACGCACTTGCTCCGACGTCGGCGTCGCTTGGCACCTCTTTTTCAGTGTCATGTATAAATTCAATCGCCAACGACGAGGGCGGCTTGGACGATAGTTCGGTTCACTTTTATCTATTTTTCGACTCATTTTTTTGCAAATATAATGCACAACAACGTAAAACTACTGCACGGTAAGAAAAATAGGAGTGTATGAAGAGCACGCTGCCTCTCAACTATTGGCTCGGAGACGTTACTTTTTCAAAAACAGCTGTTAGACGAGCACAAATTATTGCTTTTCCTCGTCAGTTGTGCCATCTAATGTCCAAATAGCAAGTCTGTGGTGTCAAGGGACCAAAAAGTAAAGCGTTCACGCGCGCGGTCGTATACCTGCGCTCGGTACCGTTTGGAGCGCGACACTTATATACACTGAAAAAATTAATTTTTTAATTGCTACCAAAATGTTTGGTACACACGTTTTAGTTGACGATATCAAATGTTCTACTTATGCTAACCAAATGTGTTATAGAAAGAACAAAATTCAAAAATTTGTTTAGTTAAGCGCAACCAAATTATTTGCTTAGTTTCTTCAACAGAAAATTTGTAATTAAACAAAAATATTCTATTCTATTATATATATCTCACTATTGCCATTCGCTACTATTGTTCAATTACCATGTGTGTGTGATGTGTATATAATTTATATATATATGTGTGTGTGTGTGCGTGTGTGTGTGTGCGTGTGTGTGTGTAAAAGTATAATATATATAATATAATAGAATATTTTTTTTAATTATAAATTATATATATATATATATATATATATATAAATTATATATATATATATATATA